GTGTCAAAAGCTTTGCTAAAGTCAAGAAACAATACATCCACTGCTTTCCCTTCATCCACAGAACCAGTAATCTCATCATAGAAGGCGATTAGATTAGTCAGGCATGACCTTCCCTTGGTGAATCCATGCTGGCTGTTCCTGATCACTTTCCTCTCATGCAAGTGCTTCAGGATTGATTCTTTGAGGACCTGCTCCATGATTTTTCCAGGGACTGAAGTGAGGCTGACTGGCCTGTAGTTCCCAGGATCCTCCTTCTTCCCTTTTTTAAAGATTGGCACTACATTAGCCTTTTTCCAGTCATCCGGGACTTCCCCGGTTCCTCACGAGTTTTCAAAGATAATGGCCAATGGCTCTGCAATCACAGCCGCCAGTTCCTTCAGCACTCTCGGATGCAACTCGTCCGGCCCCATGGACTTGTGCACGTCCAGCTTTTCTAAAAAGTCCCTAACCACCTCTATCTCCACAGAGGGCTGGCCATCTCTTCCCCATTTTGTGATGCCCAGCGTAGCAGTCTGGGAGCTGACCTTGTTAGTGAAAACAGAGGCAAAAAAAAGCATTGAGTACATTAGCTTTTTCCACATCCTCTGTCACTAGTTTGCCTCCCTCATTCAGTAAGGGGCCCACACATTCCTTGGCTTTCTTCTTGTTGCCAACATACCTGAAGAAACCCTTCTTGTTACTCTTGACATCTCTGGCTAGCTGCAGCTCCAGGTGCGATTTGGCCCTCCTGATAACATTCCTACATGCCCGAGCAATATTTTTATACTCTTCCCTGGTCATATGTCCAACCTTCCACTTCTTGTAAGCTTCTTTTTTATGTTTAAGATCCGCTAAGATTTCACCATTAAGCCAAGCTGGTCGCCTGCCATATTTACTATTCTTTCGACTCATCGGGATGGTTTGTCCCTGTAACCTCAACAGGGATTCCTTGAAATACAGCCAGCTCTCCTGGACTCCTTTCCCCTTCAAGTTAGTCCCCCAGGGGATCCTGGCCATCCGTTCCCTGAGGGAGTCGAAGTCTGCTTTCCTGAAGTCCAGGGTCCGTATCGTGCTGCTTACCTTTCTTCCCTGTGTCAGGATCCTGAACTCAACCAACTCATGGTCACTGCCTCCCAGATTCCCATCCACTTTTGCTTCCCCCACTAATTCTACCCGGTTTGTGAGCAGCAGGTCAAGAAAAGCGCCCCCCCTAGTTGGCTCCTCGAGCACTTGCGCCAGGAAATTGTCCCCTACGCTTTCCAAAAACTTCCTGGATTGTCTATGCACCGCTGTATTGCTCTCCCAGCAGATATCAGGAAAATTAAAGTCACCCATGAGAATCAGGGCATGCGATCCAGTAGCTTCCGTGAGCTGCCGGAAGAAAGCCTCATCTACCTCATCCCCTTGGTCCGGTGGTCTATAGCAGACTCCCACCACTACATCACTCTTGTTGCACACACTTCTAAACTTAATCCAGAGACACTCAGGTTTTTCTGCAGTTTCGTACCGGAGCTCTGAGCAGTCATACTGCTCCCTTACATACAGTGCTACTCCCCCACCTTTTCTGCCCTGCCTGTCCTTCCTGAACAGTTTATAACCATCCATGACAGTACTCCAGTCATGTGAGTTATCCCACCAAGTCTCTGTTATTCCAATCACGTCATAGTTCCTTGACATCACCAGGACCTCCAGTTCTCCCTGCTTGTTTCCAAGGCTTTGTGCATTTGTATATAAGCACTTGAGATAACCTGTTGATCGCCCCTCATTCCCAGTATGAGGCAGGAGCCCTCCCCTCACAGACATTCCTGCCTGTGCTTCCTCCCGGTATCCCGCTTTCCCACTTACCTCAGGGCTTTGGTCTCCTTCCCCCGGTGAACCTAGTTTAAAGCCCTCCTCACTAGGTTAGCCAGCCTGCTCGCGAAGATGCTCTTCCCTCTCTTCGTTAAGTGGAGCCCGTCTCTGCCTAGCACTCCTTCTTGGAACACCATCCCATGGTCGAAGAATCCAAAGCCTTCTCTCCGACACCACCTGCGTAGCCATTCGTTGACTTCCACGATTCGACGCTCCCTACCTAGGCCTTTTCCTTCCACGGGGAGGATGGACGAGAACACCACTTGGACCTCCAACTCCTTTATCCTTCTTCCTAGAGCCACATAGTCCGCAGTGATCCGCTCAAGGTCATTCTTGGCAGTATCATTGGTGCCCACGTGGAGAAGCAGGAAGGGGTAGCGATCCGAGGGCTTGATGAGTCTCGGCAGTCTCTCCGTCACATCGCGAATCTTAGCCCCCGGCAAGCAGCAGACTTCTTGGTTTTCCCGGTCAGGGCGGCAGATAGATGACTCAGTCCCCCGGAGGAGCGAGTCCCCGACCACCACCACCCGTCTTCTCCTCTTGGGAGTGGTGGTCGTGAAACTCCCAACCTCAGGACAGCGCATCTCATGCCTTCCAACCAGCGGAGTCTCCTTCTGCTTTCTCGCCCCAGACATATCATCTGGTCCACTCTCCGCAACGATACCTGTGGAGAGAACATGAAAGCGGTTAGTTACCTGTGTCTGTGTTACTGGAACCCGGACATTCCGCTTACCTCTTCTGGAGGTCACATGTTGCCAAGCTTCTTCACTGGCCTTTTGGCTCCTCTGTGCAACCTGCTCTGTATCTGTAGAGCTTTGTGCGCCTAGAAGCCTATCCTGAGTTTTGTCCAGAAAATCCTCAGTTTCCCGTATGCAACGCAGGGTCGTTATCTGTTGCTCCAGACCTTCAATCTTCTCTTCCAATATGGAGACCAGCTTGCACTTTGTACAGACAAAGTCGCTTCTGTCCTGTGGAAGAAAGACAAACATGGCACATCCAGTGCAGGTCACAACAGCTGAACCCCCCCCTTCCATATCACCTTCCTACTATGAGCTTCCTCAGAGCAGTTTGCAAGACGTATGCCTCACTGGGCTCACTCCAGGCGAACTCCCAGGCAAACTCCTGCTGTGAGCTGCTCTGCTGTCCCCGCTGCTCAGCTGGTTCTCCGCCGCTCAGCTGGTTCGCGAAGCTCTGGCTATTTTTAAACAGCCAGGCTTCCCTGTCGCAAACAAACAGACACCCTACTGCCCGCCCCCTGCAGGCTAGCAGCCAATCAGACACTCACTCAGGCTCTCACACTGCCCCCCCAGCAAACACACGCTCGGATACTTCCTCAGCAAGCAAACACACACACACTCGGATACTTACCAGTCCCAGGCAAACTCCTGCTGTGAGCTGCTCTGCTGCTTAAATAGTCAAGAATTGATCCCTCCAGGGCCCCACTAGAAACACACCCACTTGATTCTCCATTTAAAATTATATTTGAAGAGCTATAATTTAGCCAGTTTTTAATCCATTTAATGTGTGCCATATTAATTTTATATTCAATTTTTAAATCAAAATGTTGTTGTGTGGTACCAAGTCAAATGCCTTACAGAAGTTTAACTATATTACATCAACACTATTACTTTGATCAAACTTGTAATCTCATAAAGGTATCAAATTAGGCTGATATAAACCCATGTTGATTGGCATTAATTATTACCACCCTCCTTTCTGTCTTTCTTTCATGAGCCACTCCATTATCTTGCCCAGGATCGATGACAAGCCTATAATTACCTTGGTCATCCCATTTACTCTTTTTAAATATTGACGCAACATTAGCTTTTTTTTCCCCTAGTCTTTTAGAACTTCTGCAGTGCCCCAAGACTTTTTGAACATCAACATTAATGGTCCAGCAAATTTCTAAGCCAGCTCTTTAAGAACCCTGGAGTGCAAGATATCCAGACCTGCTGATTTTTTTTTTTAAATGTCTGACTTTAGGAGCTGCTGTATAGTATCCCCCTGAGATACTAGTGGAATGGAGAAAGTGGTATCCTAAGATATGACTATTTCACTTTTTTCCCAAATAGAGAACAGAAATATTTATTGAACACTTATCCTTTCTGCATTATTGTTGGTGATTCTACTATTTCCATCTAGTAATGGACCAATACCATTGTTAGGATGTTCCTGATATACTTTTTAAAAACTCCTTTTTATTGATAGGTTTTGCTGTACATCTTCAGAGAACAACTACACATTATTTTGTATATGTGATGCTAAATTTAAACCTTTACTTAAACTTTTATCAACATTAAACCAATGTTAATATGATAATAGGGTCTGGAAAAGTGGAAGGGGGATTTATTTGAAAAAAGAGTTTGTGGTCTTGGAGATTAGGTTGATGCTGTCATTCCCATCTGTAGGGTTTATATATTTTTTCAAAGAAGTGTCTCCCAAGCTGTAACATGGCTGACTTCTTTTTCAAATGGCTTTTTGGCAGGTATATTGCTATACTTCATCCCTTTTGAGGCCTTTTGTATTCCAACAGTGTTACCCCTGTACAGATGTAAAGGAAGTACAAATTCCACACCGACGTTGTTTTCTTTTGTGATTTGCTTGGCAATGATGGATGAGAGCGCACACATCTCTTCCTGTGCCCCCATTTTCTTACTGCTAGTTATGAATTATTCAAATGGTTTTGATTGTGGTCCCAAAGTCCAAAATTACTATTTTGCATGCATGTTGTTTACTTACTTATTTACTTACTAAAAAGAGGTTTGATATTTTTAGTCCAATCTAGGGGGAAAATCAGATTGGTTGGTTGTCAGGAGCTTCCAGGTGGTGATGTGGACAGCTTTGTCAAGTAACTTGCAACATCTGATCTTTCTGAGTAAGGAGAATTTGTTGTAAGTGATGCACTCGAAGAAAAATTACTGCTAATTTTGTACTCGGGGGGGTGTGTGTGGTGTGGAATATCTATATTTTTATCATTTGCAAAATTAACATTTTTCTCACCTGAAGCACTTGAGACCATACTTTGAGGTACTTCCAGTGGTTTGTATTAATATAAAACAGAGAAAATAATATCTGTTTTCAAATTACAAATAAAAAGAGCACTAGATTATTTTTCCTTCTATAAGTATAGACGTATTATTAAAAGTTTTGTATCTTCCATCTTTACGCAGAAACTCGAACGGATAGAACAAAGAAATTGTTTAGACACTACACAGTTGGATCATATGACAGCTTTGATGCTTTAAGGTAAGATGTCTTCCTTTTAGCTAGTAATATTCGGATTACAGAAGTTTGTTTTATGCTTAAAAAAACTAATCTCTTTACATCTTTTGTAAATATAGGATTATATTAACATATTATTCAGGTAGGAATTGGGTCTTCAAAACTCAGCCAGAGCAACTGAATCTACTTTAGTGCTGCAGCCTCTCTAAAGAGGGAGAATTTAAGGCCCTATTTTGTAAGGGGCCAAGTGTTCCCAACTGCCATGGAAATCAGTAGGAGTTCAAGACACCCAGTGCTTTGCAGAATTGAACCTTTGATGATGATCTTTGCAGTGTAAATGGAACACTATCTGGTTACAGGACCACAAACCCTGGTAAGAGGGCCATGCAATAGGTTCTCATATTTAGTTGTTTTAAGGGGTGATTCTCTATCTGAAGTAACATTGAGTAGAAATCAATTTAACTGTAAATTGTGGGATTCTTTTTCTTGCTGTTTCTGCTAAGTATCTGTTTTTGTTTTTTAAACAGGGTTTCCCCTCCCCCACACACCATGAGCATGACCAACTTCTGGCAGGGAGGGTGATCTTGCAGCACAGAAACTCATCCAGCCCATACTACTTTAACTTGCTGACAAGAATACTGTGGGAGACCGTGTCAAAAGCTTTGCTAAAGTCAAGAAACAATACATCCACTGCTTTCCCTTCATCCACAGAACCAGTAATCTCATCATAGAAGGCGATTAGATTAGTCAGGCATGACCTTCCCTTGGTGAATCCATGCTGACTGTTCCTGATCACTTTCCTCTCCTCTAAGTGCTTCAGGATTGATTCATTGATTCTCCATGATTATTCCGGGGACTGAAGTGAGGCTGACTGACTGGCCTGTAGTTCCCAGGATCATCCTCCTTCCCTTTTTTAAAGATTGGCACTACATTAGCCTTTTTCCAGTCATCCAGGACTTCCCCCGTTCGCCACGAGTTTTCAAAGATAATGGCCAATGGCTCTGCAATCACAGCCGCCAATTCCTTTAGCACTCTCGGATGCAACTTGTCCGGCCCCATGGACTTGTGCACGTCCAGCTTTTCTAAATAGTCCCTAACCACCTCTTTCTCCACAGAGGGCTGGCCATCTATTCCCCATGTTGTGATGCCCAGCGCAGCAGTCTGGGAGCTGACCTTGTTAGTGAAGACAGAGGCAAAAAAAGCATTGAGTACATTAGGTTTTTCCACATCCTCTGTCACTAGGTTGCCTCCCTCATTCATTAAGGGGCCCACACTTTCCTTGGCTTTCTTCTTGTTGCCAACATACCTGAAGAAACCTTTCTTGTTATTCTTAACATCTCTCGCTAGCTGCAGCTCCAGGTGCGATTTGGCCCTCCTGATTTCATTCCTACGTGCCCGAGCAATATTTTTATACTGTTCCCTGGTCATATGTCCAACCTTCCACTTCTTGTAAGCTTCTTTTATGTTTAAGATCCACTAGGATTTCACCGTTAAGCCAAGCTGGTCGCCTGCCATATTTACTATTCTTTCGACACATCGGGATGGTTTGTCCCTGTAACCTCAACAGGGATTCCTTGAAATACAGCCAGCTCTCCTGGACTCCTTTCCCCTTCATGTTAGTCCCCCAGGGGATCCTACCCATCCGTTCCCTGAGGGAGTCGAAGTCTGCTTTCCTGAAGTCCAGGGTCCGTATCCTGCTGCTTACCTTTCTTCCCTGTGTCAGGATCCTGAACTCAACCAACTCATGGTCACTGCCTTCCAGATTCCCGTCCACTTTTGCTTTCCCCACGAATTCTTCCCTGTTTGTGAGCAGCAGGTCAAGAAAAGCTCCCCCCCTAGTTGGCTCCTCTAGCACTTGCACCAGGAAATTGTCCCCTACGCTTTCCAAAAACTTCCTGGATTGTCTATGCACCGCTGTATTGCTCTCCCAGCAGATATCAGGAAAATTAAAGTCACCCATGAGAACCAGGGCGTGCGATCTAGTAGCTTCCACAAGCTGCCAGAAGAAAGCCTTGTCCACCTCATCCCCCTGGTCTGGTGGTCTATAGCACCACTACATCACTCTTGTTGCTCACACTTCTAAACTTAATCCAGAGACACTCAGGTTTTTCTGCAGTTTTGTACCGGAGCTCTGAGCAGTCATACTGCTCCCTTACATACAGTGCTACTCCCCCACCTTTTCTGCCCTGCCTGTCCTTCCTGAACAGTTTATAACCATCCATGACAGTACTCTAGTCATGTGAGTTATCACACCAAGTCTCTGTTATTCCAATCACGTCATAATTCCTTGACATCACCAGGACCTCCAGTTCTCCCTGCTTGTTTCCAAGGCTTTGTGCATTCATATATAAGCACTTGAGATAACCTGCTGATCGCCCCTCATTCTCAGTATGAGGCAGGAGCCCTCCCCCCACAGACCTTCCTGCCTGTGCTTCCTCCCGGTATCCCGCTTTCCCACTTACCTCAGGGCTTTGGTCTCCTTCCCCTGGTGAACCTAGTTTAAAGCCCTCCTCACTAGGTTAGCCAGCCTGCTCGCAAAGATGCTCTTCCCTCTCTTCGTAAGGTGGAGCCCGTCTCTGCCCAGCACTCCTCCTTCCTTGACTCATCCCATGGTCAAAGAATCCAAAGCCTTCTCTCCGACACCACCTGCGTAGCCATTCGTTGACTTCCATGATTCGACGGTCCCTACCCAGGCCTTTTCCTTCCATGGGGAGGATGGACGAGAACACCACTTGCACCTCAAACTCCTTTATCCTTCTTCCCAGAGCCACGTAGTCCGCAGTGATCCGCTCAAGGTCATTCTTGGCAGTATCATTGGTGCCCACGTGGAGAAGCAGGAAGGGGTAGCAATCCAAGGGCTTGATGAGTCTCGGCAGTCTCTCTGTCACATCGCGAATCTTAGCCCCCGGCAAGGAGCAGACTTCTCGGTTTTCCCGGTCAGGGCGGCAGATAGATGACTCAGTCCCCCGGAGTAGAGAGTCCCCGACCACCACCACCCGCCTCCTTCTCTTGGGAGTGGTGGTCGTGGAACCCCCCATCTCAGGACAGTGCATCTCATGCCTTCCAACCAGCGGAGTCTCCTTCTGCTTTCTCCCCCCAGACATATCATCTGGTCCACTCTCCGCAATGGTACCTGTGGAGAGAACGTGAAAGCGGTTAGTTACCGGTGTCCGCGTTGCTGGAACCCGGACATTCTCCCTTCTTCTTCTGGAGGTCACATGTTGCCAAGCTTCTTCACTGGCCTCTTGGCTCCGCTGTGCAACCTGCTCTAAATCTTTAGAGCTTTGTGCCCGTAGAAGCATATCCTGACTTTTGTCCAGAAAATCCTCCGTTTCTCATATGCAACGCAGGGTCGTTGTCTGGAGCAACAGATCTTCAATCTTCTCTTCCATATGGAGACCAGCTTGCACTTTGTCTGTACAAAGTCGCTTCTGTCCTGTGGAAGAAAGACAAACATGGCACATCCAGTGCAGGTCACAACAGCTGAACCCCCCCCTTCCATATCACCACCTTCTTACTATGAGCTGGAGCTGGAGCATAGGAGCTGGAGCAGGGCCATGCAGCTGCTTCCAGGAGCCAAGTGGCGCGGCCCTGGACCCAGTGCCCCAGCTGGAGTGCTGGAGCAGGGCTGAGCCACATGGTGCGGCTCCTGATGCAGCACTCTGGCTGGAGAGCCAGAGAGGGGCAAGCCCCGGACACCACTCCTCAGCGGGAGCTCACGGGCTGGCTTAAAACGGCTCGTAGGCCGGATCTGGCCCACGGGCCATAGTTTGTCTACCTCTGATCTAAACAGTGACATCAATTTTGTCTGTCATCTGTGGGTGCAGAAAAGGAGCCCATATTAAAAACTGGCCCATAACATAGACATTTTTTGCCTAGGCCTAATAGATTTAGTCCCCAAGTTAGGAGCTCCCCACAGGGAAAAGAATAACTGAAAGGAAGAGAGATGTCAAACTAATACAGTTCTGGAGTAATGTTCTGTTGACAGCAGTCTTGTTCCCAATGAACTATTTCCAGATTTGTACCTTGCTTTGATCACTTTCTCTGTCATGAATCCTGGCACTGTAAGGGAAGACTATAGTGCAATGACTAGTTATTTTCAAAGTAATTGCTGCTTTACTAAAGTTGTTGCTTTTATAAGATAATCAGGTTGTTGTGGAAGACAGGATTGAATCCTTAGCACTTTGATTTAACTCCCGATTCAGTTCTTTTTCAAAGGTGACTTGGTTCTCACATGTGTCCCTTTCAGTTTCTTGAATACTCTGCTGAAAAAGTCCCACCTCCTTTTTTTAACCAGAGCAAAACACACTGTGCAAAAGTTAGTACATGATTTAAACATTCATATTAATAGGCTGATGTATTTGAACCAAACATCCTGAATGTGGCATTTTTCATTTTAGACAAGTGAAGTTTAGTAAAGCAAACGTTTTTGTGATTCATTAAACCTCTTTTCAACTGTGAAGAAGAGGACAGGTATCCATTATGCCCTTACAGATTCATAGTTTATAAGAGGAAGGGGATATATGCTGAATAATGTCACCATGTTTACCAATCCAAATCTATCTAAATGATTTGCAAAATGTGACAAGTGATTTTTCATGTGAGGTTAAGCAGGTGTACCCCCCATACTCTCTGCTGTAGTGATGGCTAACAGAAGTGTTATGCTACCATCTGTGCCTTATTCTGTATCTGTGATACATAGCACTTGGCATTTTAGGTTTCTTACATGATACAGAAGCTTGGATTACCATGGTTATGGGATTATTTTAATGTTGTATTACATCCAACAGTGATTGAGGGATCTCTTTCAGTGATCTTGAGCTCTAACTTTTCAGTGACTACAAATGGTGTAATCCTTTATACTTGTATTAAGTGTGTGCTACAAGAAAAACAATTTACCCTAAGAGACAAGCTGATTTTGTATGTCTATACTGCAGTTAAACACCCACAGCTGGTCCCTATCAGCTGGCATGGGGAAAGGTGCTGTTTAATTGCTGTGTAGACACTTGGGCTCAGGCTGGAGC